GGGGGTGGATTTACATTAAGCATTTTACCGACACGTTTTATAGTGTTATTATGAAAATTATTTGCAACTATTTTACAAACAGGACTCATGCATTGTCATGAAGGGAATGACGTCCCTGAAAGTGAGCTTTTTACGATGTGGGGAAGTGCGGGGATATGCGATGCCAACCCATCGACACCATCTTGTTTGAAATTGTTAACACACCTTTCTCTCCGAGTTAAGCAATTTTTTCATCAAGAGTTGAGAAGAACCTGTCTACTAATAGCAAGTTAGCAAACGGACATAAACTCATGAGTTGCAGTATGAAAAATGAATTTTGATATTTCGTTTCTTTTATTTTATATAGGGTGTAGACAGAATAGACTACGAGAAGAATGATGACCTTTTCTTTACCTGGGGGGTGGGCACTGGGACAGACGCCTACGTCGTTGACACCGGAATTAACCCTGATCATGTGGACTTCGGGGGAAGAGTGTCTGCAGGTAAAGGACATTATGAGAGCATGAGAGAGAGAGAGAGAGAGAGAGAGACAGAGAGAGAGTAAACGTGTGTTGGGAAAAACTATGTGTGAGAGACACAGAGAGAGAGAGGGGGAAAGGATAATAATAATAATAATAATAATAATAATAATGATAATAATCTTTATTTACAAAGGGTAAAACTTGTTAAGTGTATACACTTATCTTACACATTGCCCTCTGAAGGGTTAAAAAAAGAATTAATCAAATTAAAATTATATTGAAATAAATTGAATCAAATCAAAATAGTAATAGTAATTAGAATAAAGCAAATAAGGAATGTGTTAGTAAAAATCTTTATTAATCTAGACCTTTAGTTAGTATATCTTTATGTCTACCAATTGGTAAATAGAGATTTCCTTTATTACTTGAGCTAGTGATTCTGCCAGTTATGTCTATGGTTGTAGTATGCAGTAAGTCCTAAAATGGTGAAAGTTCATTTAACGATTTAAAAACTAACGATGCTTTCTGAAATTCTATCCGTTCATAAATTATTTTCTAGTTCAGTTTCTTGAATAGTTCAATTGATGGATGGTTCTTGGCTTCCTCTTGTGTGATATCGATAATGATTCTTGCGCCAGGGTTTTGAAGTAAGTTCTAGACAGAAATCAGAAAAAAGGGTTTTTCTCATCAAAGTTCTGTGAATTGTATTTCAGGGTGGCACGCAGGTTCTTTTGCCGATAGTAGAGACGATATGGGGCATGGTACCCATGTGGCCAGTACCTTAGGTGGCGCCACCTATGGAGTAGCCAAGGAGGTAAACCTCATCCCCGTCAAGGTATGCAGCTACTACCATTGTATGGAGTCTGAGATCCTGGAAGGGCTAAACTGGGTAAAGACACAGGTTCAACTATACAAGCGTCTGTCAGTAATAAATATGTCCCTCGGTGGTCCGAAACGCCCGTCTTTCAATAACGTTGTGAACGCGGTAATCGATGCAGGCATCCCAACAGTAGTCAGCGCTGGAAATAACTTCGGGGGCGATGCTTGTGCCAGATCCCCTGCAAGCGTAGGCAGGGCCCTCACGGTTGGAGCCACCCAGATACACGATTACGTGGCTGGATTTAGTGACATCGGACCGTGCGTCGATATTTACGCTCCAGGGGAGAACATCAAGGCCGCTTACTACGGAAACAACAACGGTTCGACCCTGAAAAGTGGGACCTCAATGTCAGCACCTCACGTCGCCGGTGCTGTCGCGGGCATGCTGCAGGTCGTTCGCGATGCTGGGTACTACACGGAACCGTCGCAAGACGTTGTGGACCACATAAACCATTACATCATCGAGTACGCGGAGAAGGGTACCGTGCTTGGACTCCCGGTGTTGAACAACCACAACGTTATGCTTCAAACGACCGGTCTGTTTACTGTGGCGCCTTAATAATGTTTGCCCGAAAATACACCCTTGCTTAAAATGATGGAGTATCCCCAACAAAACATTACATCTTCGTTTTAAATATGTAAAAACTCAGTCGCAAGTGGTTCACTGTAATTGCATCTTCTTCATTCAAGTTACATTATATTTGAGAATTTTTTAACCCTTTGGGTTCTTAAAGACGATTAGTTATATATTTAATAAATTATCGGCAATTAATAGGGAAGAGCAATTGTATTGTTGAAAAAACATTCATTGGAGAGTCATTCAAAAGTAGACTTAGACCAAATATTTCATCTCAGAATGTATTGCCATCGTGAACATGGAGGGGGACATTTATTCCTCTAGATACTAGCTCAACTAGTTTGTTGATGCATCTCTGACTGAGATGAGCATCCCGACGACAAGAGGATGCATCGATGTCCTTTTCTCGCCCGCGCCCCGAAGGTCAAATTCTCTTAAAGTGACCAAAGTCACCCTCAGGCTTAAGGACGAGGCATTCCCAATCTTTTAATATGCTGGACAAAACTGACTTGCAGCCGCGAAGGCCAGTGACTGGCCGGCCATTCTGCTCTGGTGTGTTATACAGGGTCCTCAACTTGAACCCACATGTTGTACGCTCCTCGAGGAATTTTGACTTAAGAAACGTTTATCGGTCATTTCACATAATACTTTGAAACAAAAAATTGTCTCTTATTTTTGAAATATTCCATCATTTTAGCAAGAGTGTGTGTGTGTTGCTTTGAATTTACAGTGGTTTCCAATAGAACTATGCCAACGGAATTATGGATGGAAACAATTTCCACAGCAATGACTGTTCAGAATCAAATACAAATTTCTAATATTTTTTAGATTCAAGATAAGGTATAAAACGATATAAAAAAAGACACTTGAGCTTTTGAATACTGTAAATGGAGTGTCGTCTTTGAAAGCACGATTTTCCACAGTGGCATGGAAAAATACAGTACATTTCGGACGCAGAACAATGTTAAAGATGCAGGTGTGCTTAAGTTTTGACAACAGGTACTTAAATATATGATATTAATGATGTAAAAAAGGTTGCACGTGAGCTATCATTCACCAATTTTCACAGTTGGCGCAGCAGCCTCTTTACATTTCTTCACATGGACAACTAAAAGGAAGAAATGCTACTCAGAGAAATTTTCCACTTGTAAATTCAGTTGTGTGCTTTATCTAGCAGGCGAGATGCCCTCTTTTTGTCTTGTAATTCCACTGCTAATAAATTCAAGCATTCAGGCAAAGTTATAATGTTCATATTCTTCTAAATCGACACTGAATATGCCATTGGTTAACTGCTGTTCAAGTGAAAACAACAAAATATGTTAGATTTATAGTGCATTTCATTTCATAAAGCCTCACACAACATCGCCATTCATTATTAATGATTGCACAGCTGATATAAAGGAGACGCAGTTAATCGGTTACAAGTCTGATTTGTTGCATGAATCCTGGAGAGTTTGGAGGCGTTTGTCTAATATTTTGGGGATGATTTTACAAACAAATGGAACCAGAAAGAGAAAAAAATCACCCGTAAGATTATCTAGATAGAAAAGTTTTAAAGGAGGGGGTGGGGGGATGTCTGACATTACCATTCTTGCGTTGATTTCTAATGTTGACTGGGAACTCGTATATTCTTACTTGTATCAGGTCAATGCATGATAGCCCCTACGAGTTATTATTATCACAGCCAGTTGCATTTGCCTGTACAGTACATCATCGACATTATCTGATTTATCTATTTTCACTCTCTGATAAACAATTCCATATTCGCCGAAAATCATATCAGTTTGAGGTGGGCGATAATGGTGGCAATGACATGCATCGTATAGCATAAATATTACACACACACACACACACACACACACACACACACACACACGCACCCCGAGTTTCAGATGTAGAACCTATTTGTTCTATGCTTAACAAAGCCTAATATGCATTTACCAATTGATGGGTGTATGTTAGGTAGAGGAGAGTCCTCTGAAAATTCGGTCGTGTTCCCAGTATAGTTGGGTCGTTACAGTTTGGTGCAACCCATCTCAGCAGGCGGTATGATTTACAGACCACAAGAAGGCTATCTACAGGAAACGTGACTTGCATCGCTGAAAATTGCGGCGCCGGTGTCAGGAATGATATTCCGCTAGGAAGAGTAGTTCGCTCCCCATCACTTTGTATATGTGACATTCGTCCCATATAGGCCTACTAACCCCAAAAATCCGACTAACCCTCACCTGTAGGCCTANAATGATATAAAATGTGAATAAAAAATGACTATGGTTAGTTATGGTTTGTCAAAAATTGTGAAAAGAATTAAAGAAACCGTACTGCTGAGAGCCAAGGCGTGTCGACATGAGTGGTAAGATATAATTTAACACACATGTACATATACATATATATATATATATTTATATAATCACTTATATATATATATATATATATATATATATATATATATATATATATATATATATATATATATATATATATATATATATATATATATTTATTCTTGTCAATACATATCTCATGAAAATAATCCTTAGGTTCAAGAGGCACGGATATCTTTAATAAGAAAACCAGGGTTATGTCAATTGTCCAATATCATTGCACTGTCCATACCCCTGCCACATAATGCCATGATTGTAATTTCCAATTAGAATTATTGGTGTACATATGTAGTGACACAGATGAAATAAGAAGGTGCGCATAATAAGTAACATGTAATTTTTTGTTCAGGAGAGCAGCTTTACACTTTTTGTATTCTCCATGTACCGGTAGTGTCCGTACCTAGTTGTATCTCTGCATGTTTGAGGCATTGACAATTAGGTACGGAAACCATGTTAGAACTTTGAAAGCAAGATAGTCCAAAATAGGTCTCGTAGGTAAACTTATCTTAGGTTTACAATTGCAAGGGGAACACCTTGCACACTCTCTCTAGCATAAGATTATTTAATTATAAACGCTTTTCAGAACATGCAACGAAAAAAGCTTGAAAAAATGGTGCTTCGTGATGCCTTTGTCAAGTTTACCACTGAGATATTCCCTTATACATTCTAATTAATTCGTAAACGGCTGACCCAAGTGCAAGTTAGAGAAATATCCAAAATTTATCAAAGATTCCGATGCATTATACTTAATATTGGTAGCTCAGGGCCCTTTGGTTAAAATGAAACAATGGGACAGGACTATTATAAAAACCAAAGTTTAATAATTATTAATTTATATTATATTTGGATACTTTTGCGCATTTGGAGGGGCTGTCACAATAAGAAACTTATTTTACGTGTCACGCTCAGTATTTTTCTACTAAAATTCACATTTTGTCAAGTGACATTTAGTAAAAAAGACCGGATGTCCGTGTGGTAAGAATGTCCGCCTCCGGAGCGGGAAGACGTGGGTTCAACCCGGTCCCGGAACATACTAGTCCTTCATAAACGGTACCTGCTGTCTGCCCGCTTGGCACTCAAAGGACAACGGACACCGTCAGAATGGCCTGAACGGAACAAATTCTTCAGAAAACATGCCCAACTAACGATATCTTTATCCAAATGCACAAATTAAAAGCTCATTTTGTAAATTTTTTGCTGTAAAAAACGTCCTATTTGCTCGGCCTGGGAGAAAATGAGCTATACGTGGTCACGTGTTCCGATGACGACAATCGCGCCACCGGAGAAGAGAGCGTGCTTAGCTGTCAAACTGAGCTGCATTGTCTATCTGTAAGATGACTTTTCTGGCATCTGATAAAAGTTTTTACTCATTCAAATCTCTTACCCGAGGGGTCTAAATCCTCGTGAAGCTGTGTTAAACCATTTCCTGTCTATTCAATTCTTTAACAAGCATTTAATTATAGTTATCCCAAGTTGTATAAAACACTGCATTTGAATGAGTTAAGAGTACTGTTGATTATTACATATGAGGTCCATGTTATTTGTGAAATTCAATTTATTTTATTAAACCGCTGACACCCCGTCTTACATACTTTTATTAAACTGAGCTAAACAATGCATGTTACATTTACAAGTCCTATCTTAATCATCCATCTAACTGGAACTTCCTGTACCTCTTAATTAGAGGGTTAAATGGCATTCAATTCTCCTGTACCCAGCAGGCATAGTTGTGTTGGATCAACGTTGAAAACAGGTTGATACATTGAATTGCCGTTGATCTACCTAAATTCAACGTAAAATCAACGTTGATCCAGCCACGTCGAAACACCGTCATAATGTGACGTTGACTCAACGTTGTATTTTGGTCATTGACACAACCTTGCGGACATAGTTTGTAATTTAAAATATTAATTGTTGAAAACGTGATACTTTGTTTATCAATACTGTAACTAACTTTATCAAAATAATCAAAAAAAGTGTTAAAAGTAAAAGTGACAGTTGTTTTGTGTCTTTAGTGAATTAGTGAATTTTCTTAACTTGTTATTCAGAAATATATTCCAATACACTGACTTCCTTGCAAGGTCAGCTAACACTAGGATGAATAAGTTGCTGTAAATGTGATGGAGTGAATTAATAAGGTTAACAGTTCTTGGTCACCTAGACAGGTTGAAGTGACTGTGCTTATATATATATATATATATATATATATATATATATATATATTAATCTAAACCTTGGAAATTATAACTTAAAGACCATACTTTTATACCCTACCCTCAGGTCATTTCAATGTCTTTTCATGCAAGAATGTTGTCTAACAACTGGGGTTGATACAATGTTGTCATCTGACGTTGATACAACGTTGTTATCTGAGGTTGGGTCAACTTTCAAATCCAATGTTTATCCAACGTCTTATCAACGTTATGGTTCAACGTTGTTTTATTGTTAGAACAACATATGTTGCCCGCTGGGTAGCCTTTGTCTAATTGCTGGTATCGAACGCACTCTCGCTGGCGATATTTATCTCAGGTAAAAATCTACCTGTGCGTTAGTTTCAAAGAGAAGCTCCCGCAGACCTGGGGGCACTAGATAAAATCTGAACACCAGGTTTATTGAAGAGCTAGAGAAACAAAGGAAGAGTTTTCCTGCACAGCTTCATAGGAATTTTAACACGGACTTGACCCAGCTTAGACCTCCAAACTAACAGGGTGACATGAACAATTTTCACAAACAAATAATAAAACTATATTTCACCTAGCCTCCTTTTAAATAAATATACTGTTGTGGGTAAATTAGAATATTTATTAAATCGCAAAAATATTTTTGACTTAAATGATGATTTTATGATTAATGGAAATTAAGCTACTATATGAGGTACATTTGCTGTGATTACGCTGTCCTTCATGTTTTGCGTTGGTCTACATTTTGCTGTACGTGCTTGTAATTCTTTCAAATCCGTGCGTACAATTTTTGCAGGTCTGGTTACGCCCCTCTAAATTTGGCAATTAGTTCCTTAGCTTATTTAAATAGAATTTCAGTGTAAAATTGATGTTGGCGCAATATCCCTTTACCCTGTGTGGATATTTTCCCGTCAAAGTTTGTCTAAAATTATCTTTCAATCTTTACTCTTTCAAGGACAGTAGAAAGTTATCTGACATCCTTTCGTGAAAGCTTAATTACAAGCC